GCCCCGTATACTTACACCCACTAAAATATTTCACTTCAATTAAACTAAATAATTGAGATCAGGCCAAAAAGCAATTATGTAATGCAGCTGCCATTGTCATCACTTTTAATTAATCTGAAATACCTGAAGAGTGGGAAGAGGAAACTGTGCAGGAAACTAATCAGTACAGAATAACACAGAACAATGGCCGGGAAAGTTGACAGCAAACTCGAGTTGTGGCCTAAACAGGCCGCCAATTACCTTGACCTAAGCGAAAAGCTGACAGATACCTTCAATTTCTGTTCTGTGTTGGTAAATTATAGTTGGAAAGATCTTGAATATAGCCAAGGTCATCTATCTTGTTTTTGTTTAAATAATTATTTTCTTTTTCTGTAATAAATAAATCATAAATTACTTGGCATCCTCATAGTCCATAAATTACAGAAAAATATTTGCCTTTTTTAAAGAAGAAACTATTTGAGCGGGCAGCTCTACATGCGAGTGTTGACACAAAAGGGATTTTCCGGACCTGCGCCTAAAATATGCAGCAGAGTGTCCTGTGTTTTCCACTTGGGCTGCATGATTGTCAAGTGACGGACAACCGTTGACATGTTTGTGGGTGATCCCTGGGCCAGCTACTCCTGCAACACGTCCACCACATCCGACACCCACCCATATTTGCAGCCGCTGAGCCAAAGCGTTTTGTGAATGCTTAATTACGAAATGCGCTCATGTTTGGGCCCAGACTTTCGGGGGCGCCTTAACTCGGCAAATATTTGAGTGAGGCGCCGGGAAAACCGTTGACACTCGCCATGTTGGCACTTTCCACCCACAAAAACACACACATTTATAGACTGAGTCAGCCCGGGGTTTCGGTTTCGATAAAGCCAGCGTGAAATCAATGAGCAAATATCCACGAACACAATGGCCAGCCAGGCGAGTACAAATAATTGGTACATTTCCACTCGAGGAAAAATTTCAGAAAAGAATATCTCTTGGAAAAACCCCTAACCAAGAGTTAAGTACACCATTTTTTTCAAGAATATTTATCAATTTAAAATGAATTTTTGAATTTAGTCAGAGTTTTCTTCCTCTGTACAATACATTTATTGCATTAAGTGACATGGCAAATAACGTGAAAAAGCGTAGGAATCAAACCGTTCCATCATGAAAAAAGTGAGGCAGAAAATATGAAAGAACAAACAAAATGAAGATGTGGCAATACAAAAAGCTTTTAAGAGCCTCCGGGAGGGGAAAGTAGTGCCCTGGGCAACTGATAAGCATATGTGTCAGAAGGAAGACGTTTCCTAAGGCCCTTCAGTCTTACCTTCAGCCACTTAGGGATACCAATCAATGAGCGGCAGCTGTCAATCAAACTTTCCAAGAATTACCCGGCTAATTGAAGCGGACCCACTCAATAATGGAGATATTAATTCCCCAAAAGCTCATCCTTAAAGAGCTGAAACTTTCTCAAGGCAAAAATTGGCCACATAACCGGAGACCTTCGTCAGCTCGCACTTTGCTAGAGGAGAACAGTGGCATGAACTTTTGAGGGGGGTTAATCGAAGAAGTGCCAAAAGCAAGCACAGCACCAAATGCCAAGGAAGTTAACAGAAAAATGGTACAAAAATAATGCCGAAGTGGGAAATTTCCGCAACAAGCCATAGCAATTAGGCAGCCAGAGCAGCAAAGCATTTTCCACATGCAGAGGTCAAAACGAAATTGCCAAGCGGAAGGAGAAAGTGGAATGTGAAAGTGGCAAGTGGCAAGTGGAAAATGGAGAATTAGAAAATCGCCCCTGGCCACATCCTAAACAAGAAGAAAAGTTGGCACAAAAATCATTTTTCCAATTTTCGGCAGTTTTTTCCCCTGTTTTTGTTCTGGCATAAACCGCAAGTCATATTTGATTTTATTTTTGATTGTGTTTTGATGGCTGCAAAAAAGTTCATTTCAAACGTAGTTTGTAGTCGGCTATACAGTTAAAAAAATATAACTCGAAAGAGTCTAGTCATGCTATAAAAACCAGTCAGGGTAGCAATTAAAAGATTATTGTTTATGGCAACCTGTTCGGATATATTTCTAGTTTAGAGTTCTTTAAAAACCGAGAACAGCCTGGACTCTGCTGGTTCATGGATTTAAAATTCCCAGAGATTGTATTTTTTTTGGGTGTACGAGATTTTGATTGCCTGTTTCGGAATATTGGCCATACGCCGCCTGGTTCCATGACAAGTGTTCAATTAAATGCTCTTAGTTGTTGCTTCCATCGACCCTTCAGCCCCTGCAGCGACCTTGATGCTGGCTTCCGGTTTTGTTATTGCGGCTTCCACCATTTTTTCTCTCCCCGTTTTTAGGGGGAGAGTTTTTCGCTAAGCAGAAACTCAAATGTTGGAAATGTGTGCGTGTGTGAGCTTCAAAACCGGATTTCCGCCTTTACAAAAAACAAAAAAAATCCAAACTTAAAGTGAACCCGGGCAGCTGCACGTGGCTGTTGTTACCTTTTGGCATAATTTTCCACAACCATCCCCAGTGATTCCTCGGAATGCTGAAAATGTGTGCCAGAGCTTTTCGTTTCATAAATTCAGAGCAGTTCTAACCGCACATGAAGGGCCCTCCTGGGCTCTCTTGGCCCTCTTCATCCTGGCCAAGCATTTCCGGCCAGCGAAATGAGCCAGCTCAGATGGCATCCATCGAGGGGTCCAGAGACTGCATATATGTAGCACTCATGCTCACATTCTCATGCTCATTACATGGCCCAAAGCCAAAAGGAAAACAGGCAGATCCTGTGTACTGTTCGCTTGTGAGGTCCTGCCTTGAGGACAGGCCAAAGATGTAATTGTACTTGGCCGGAAAATGGCTTGAACCCAGCTCGTTGGGTATATAAAAAGATACAGCTGACATGGGGGTAGTGTGCTTTTATCTGGGACAGAGAAAATTCAGCTATAAAAAGAAGCTTCATTATGTTTCTGGACTTTTAAGGAACTATATTATAAGTATTGGTTAAAATAATCTGTAAAAGAACAGAGATTTCTTACTAAATGTTTGGCTTCCATACATAACCATAGCTTAAGACTATATTTAATGCTTAAAGTTATATTCATTTCTCCCTGTGAACCCCCCACTATCGTTATAACTTTCAATTCAACTACGAATAGTCAACCTATTATAGTTTATACACATTACCACCGATACCATTGGCAGATAATCGGCTGCGGTCGATAGAACACCGTGTTTGGCTAATGGGCAAACCACAATCAAACTTCAATTTCTATGGGCATTTGCAGTTGGCCAACTGTCAAAAGGGGCGTGGCTCGGTAATTAAAATGGGGTGGTAGAGGGAGTAGATCGGCGGTGATTATGTGATTCCATTATGCCGAACAGTAGAGGGGTGGCATTAATAATGCAGCTGGCGAAGCCTGGCGATGGCTTCATTATATCGTTTAAATGGATGTTTTGTTGTGCGATGCTGTCTATTAAGCGGCAAGTGTTGTTTCTTGTCTGAGGTCCTTTGACCCCCCTTAAGCCCGCCCTCTTTTGGGCCTGTCAGCTGCCATTGCCAGGCACTTTAGATGGGCCCTCCAACCCCCGACATCCAAAGCCCCCTAAGATATTTCGCTGTTCTTGTCATAGTCAACAAGTCCACGCTATTACGTGACTGGCCGCAACTTTAACGGCCCTTAGTCCGTTGGTCAGCAGGCACTTGACACTGGTAGCCCAACCTTTGGTTCGAGTATGTGCGTAAGACCACCCACTGCAATCCCCGAAAACTTCCGTAATGGGCGGCATACGGTGCGTATTAGTTACATTAGTGGCGACCAAATGAGACAGTGGGACATTTGTTTATTGCCTTACTTCTGCGTGTTTGCATTGTAATTTGGGACCGGTCTTGTCCGGAATCTTGCAACGAAATCCAATTCAATTACAAGCCATGACCACATGTTAGAATTAGCCAGACATTTGAGGCTGCCTTAAAGGCTTCTGAAATACCAAAATTGTGTTTCCCTATCGTTAATTCAATATTCATGACTGGGTTTCCTTATTAATTTCATGGTCAAATATACCATTTATAATTACTTAGGCACAAAAATGCCTAGCCTGCGGAAAATGTCTATTTTGCCAGTCAGCATCGCAGAACCGTGCCAAGTCACATGGCATAAGTCCAATCTAGGCCAAAATCCCTCAGCCGAGAGACTTAATCACTGTAATGGAAGTTAGGCTGGCTTACAAAACCAAAAGCCAGATTTTGTGCTTGAAATCACAAACAAAACACGAAAAATATGAATGAAAAATGGAAGATTTTATTATCACTTTTGGGCTGACAAAACATTTGCGACATTTCTCAATGTCCAATTTTATTGCCGGATAAGGGCAGAAACACTCCGGAAAGTTGCCACTTGGCTGGCAGTGGGAAAGTTACTTTTAATTAAATGCTACTGCCACAATGCAGCTGCAACTGCGGTTGGGCAGAGGCCAAAAGTGAAGTCGAATTCCTTTGAATCTCTGCATTCCCCATATTTCCTCATTTGTCTAATGGAATTACGTCAACTGGGAATGCGTGTGGACCCTTGTGGGTTACACTCGCAAAATTCAAACCTACATTTTGGCAATATAAATGTTTTTTCTTTAAGTTACAAACTTAGAGAATGTCTAAACATAGGCCTTCATTTGTTCTCTGTGCATTTTGAAAGCTACTCGAATGGCCTGTTTCCTCGTTTGCCCACAAATTGCAGAAATCATCTGCTCTTGCTGGACCACTGGTCGTATGCTTAATATTGATTACAGGCCCTGCCCTTGTTCTCTGGCCATTTCGAGCAAATGGTAATGACATTTCTTTGTTGATTCATTTGGAATCATACTTTCGACTTGCCCTGAACTTCAACTTGGACCTGCAATACATTTCCCTTTGCATGTGGCATGCAACGCTTCGGTATTTTGGGAATACCAGCGCTTAAAGTCAGCCAAAATAAAAACCTAGACCACGAATTCGTTTTTTATTCAACTGACGCCTCGCTGTTTATTTGCAGGTAGAATTCTCGCCACGCAGCTTGCATATTTAAGTATTGAAATTTCCGAAAAAAGGGAATTTTAATGAAACGCCAGAGGAGCAACGGGGGGCACTGAGTTGGCAGCCGCGGACACCGCGGTCAATCAAACGGAGTCCAGCCAGGACAAGCCACCAATCGACGAGGACGACCATCTGACCAGCTCATCATTGACACCATGGTCACGAACATGTCGCAGCCGCATTATTGTGGCACCGGCATCGATGATTTCCACACAAAGTAAGTAAGCTCCGGGGATGTCTGCATATTAATTACTTTTTTAAATGTAATTTGCATAATGATTTGCCAGCCGGGGCGCACATAATGAAATCATGTGTGTAATTGCCTACAGCCAAGGTGGCAAAAGGCTAACCAAGTGCATCTAATGCGGCAAGGCAGGGCCTAGTCTTTAAAATAAAATAAAGCTGAAAAAAAATCCATACAATATTGTTGGCAGGAAAGCAGGCTTTGCTCTGCAATTTTTCATGGAAGATTTAACAAAATAAAGACACATTTATTTTTTGTATAACAAAAGTTGTGGCTATCTGAGATAAATTCTGGAAAAAAACATTTTGTCTGAGCAAGCCTTATCTATCTTTAATTTGTCCTTTCTATTCGAATAAGCAATTTGCATAGATGACTTCATTTGTCTGGTTTTTAGCCCAGTTTCTTTAGTTTCCTAATCTGCGCGTTTTAAAGACTCAATTTAACATTAAATTCTATGAAACCTCATTTCCTCTGTACAGCTACAAATACTTCCATGGCTACTTCTCCCTGATTGTCTGCATCCTGGGAACCATTGCGAATACCTTGAATATCATTGTGCTAACCCGACGGGAGATGCGCTCCCCCACGAATGCCATACTCACGGGTCTGGCCGTTGCCGATCTGGCTGTAATGCTGGAATATATACCCTATACGGTGCACGACTATATCCTCAGCAACCGATTACCGAGGGAGGAGCAGCTCAGCTACAGCTGGGCCTGCTTCATAAAGTTCCACTCGGTGTTCCCCCAAGTGCTGCACACCATCTCCATTTGGCTGACAGTGACCCTGGCCGTCTGGCGCTACATAGCAGTGAGTTATCCGCAGAGGAACAGGATCTGGTGTGGAATGCGGACTACCCTCATCACCATAGCCACAGCCTATGTGGTGTGTGTCCTAGTGGTATCACCGTGGTTGTACTTGGTTACAGCCATAGCCAAGTTCCTGGAAACGTTGGATGCCGATGGCAAGACTATCGGATCGGTTCCTTTGAGTCAGTACATCCTGGACTACAATCACGATGAGGATGTGACCATGCAGGTTATGTCCAGTACGACGCCAGATGTTTCCTGGGCGATACCAAGTGGATCGGGCAACGGGACAGCAGTTAGTTTGCTTAGCTTAACCACAGTGATACCTTTAACGACTTTAAGTACGGGGATTACTACTTCCTCGATGGTGGGTGAGCGAAATGTGACTGTCTATAAGTTATACCACAGTGCATTGGCGCTGCACGATCGCCAGTTCAGGAATGCCACCTTCCTGATATACAGTGTTCTGATCAAGCTGATACCCTGCTTTGCATTGACCATATTATCTGTGAGGCTTATTGGGGCACTATTGGAGGCCAAGCGGAGGCGAAAGATCCTGGCCTGCCATGCGGCCAACGATATGCAGCCCATCGTTAATGGAAAGGTGGTCACACCCACTCAGCCCAAGAGCTGCAAGCTGCTGGAGAAGGAAAAGCAGACGGATCGCACCACTAGGATGCTTCTGGCGGTGCTGCTGCTCTTCCTGGTCACCGAGTTTCCACAAGGCATTATGGGTCTGCTGAATGTCCTCCTTGGCGATGCCTTCTTCCTGCAGTGTTACCTAAAGCTGAGTGAGTATTCCAAGATTAGCAATCATTCTCCTCCTCTAGTCTGTAACCCGTAATTGCTTTATTGGCTATGATAATTGACTGAATTTATGGTTGGTTTTGGTGGGCCCAGTTTGGTTCAGCTATCAATCATACGCACCGTTGCCCGCCATAATTGCACCACAAATTTGAGGCTTCAATGTTCGCCTGGCCTTGACATGTTCCAGAAGTAGACTAACGTTTTGTTTATCAAATACACTTAAAGAAAATAGTTAGCAATCTAAAATGTATTTCTTAAAACTTTTTCAAGTTTTTAAATTTAAGAGAGATATTAAAAAAAATTTAACGATTTAAAATTAAAATTTAAATTATTTAACACTTTATATCCTCGCAGTATTTTAATTTAAGTGTAAGGGCTATTAAAACCCAGCTGGCCTTGAACTTTGCCTGACCCCTAGTGAAACCCAGCCCACAGATGGCGTGTTGGTAGCAACTGGCATTTACTGTATTACGATTTTCCCGTTTCAGGTGACCTTATGGACATCTTGGCGCTTATTAATTCGAGCATCAACTTCATCCTGTACTGCTCGATGAGCCGCCAGTTCCGGAGCACGTTTGCTTTGCTCTTCCGGCCGCGCTGGCTGGACAAATGGTTGCCGCTGTCGCAGCATGACGGCGAGGGGAGGGTGGGTGGTAGTGGCGGCCTTGGCGGATATGGCCGGCAGCGGCTGCTGCACACGGATGCCGTCAGCAAGAGCATGGCCATCGATCTCGGGCTGACGACCCAAGTGACAAATGTGTAGCAGGAGAGCAGCGGCCGGGCGGTGATGTCAACCGCAGCCGGCGGAGGAGGGGGAGGAGGAGGAGGAGCGGCTGCATCGGTGGCACTGGCAGCGAATGAAGTTGATGGATGTGCTGATGCCACTGATGCTGCTGTTTCTACTAACGACATCAGCCTGGTCGAGAAGCTGCACTTGCAGCCAGGCCAAAAGGGGGCAGCGATATCCAGTGGCCAGAATCGGAGGCGTCGCAGTGGGAGTGGCAGCAAGTGCATCTGGCCAACCACGGATTGGCTAAGAAAACTGCGGAACCAAAAGGCCAGGGACACTGAACCCTCCACCGATCAGGACATAGAGCTGGGCAGGACGGCCATCAACCGAAGGAGTAGTGTCCTTTTAATGGTATTACTGAGCAGTTCCGATGAGGTCAAAGCCAAGGCTGTTTTGGTCAGCGAGCAGCCGCCAAGTCCACCCGACGAGGATGTGGAAGATGCCATCGATGCCCTCTGGCTGTGAGATGTCCTCTTGCAACCTCTTATATACCCTGTAAATTATCCTACTACCCACTAATATTTAACTACCATGTACAGACCAAACTAAACCGAACAAATTGCTCAGCGCTGTTTCCAATATTTTCCCGCCAGCGTTGTCTCTGCGGATCGAGAGCCCCTCTGCCGAGGCTTCGCTCTGCTGGAAAATGGATGGGTATTACCTACTATAAGGACACCCGGGAAGCAGCCTGAAGTATTTTGTGACCACACTTGATAAGTGATATACTAGACTAAGCTTCGACCCATTGATAGTTGTGTAAGTGCTAAGCGCCTCTTCAGATACCAAACAAAACGAATTAGCCATAGTCTAACTATTGTTTAAGCATTAACTTAAGAGATTAAATTTCTTTTTCTATTGAAATAAATACTTATTCGATGGTGATAGATTTTGAATTATTTTGATAAATCAAATAAGGTAAGTAAATGGATTAAGAAAATCTTATAATTTGATAGTCTTTAATCAGGAGAAACCAAAACTGGCGAGCATTAAATTAATTTTTATTAAAGACCCTTTCAAGAGCTCTTTTAGTATGCAATCGGTTGCATTTGACTGCCTCGAATTGCTATTTAATTTCGTCGTAGAATTTAATTTTGGGAAAATTTACAGCTGGCAGAAAAACCCAGTGATTGGCACTTAAACATCAAGCACTGGCTTTCCCTTTGGTCCTTTCGGTTGCTGGCAATCCTGCTGGCATAAGGACGAATAAAATAAACGCGCAAGTGACAGTAAAAAGTGACTAAAAAGCAAATGGCAACATTGAGAGCGTCAAGGGCGTTGATTAATTGTAATTTTAATCAAGGGGCGAGGCGAATTTGTCAACAGCGTTCGAGTGGGAGTGGAACACGCACAGAAACAAATAAAACGACACAAACTGATGACCCAATTCGTAGCTGCTAATAGCCAGCAGTTTCAGGACCAAAGATCGACCCGTATATATGATGTATGAGTTGGATTGAAGAGGCCTACAGTCGGCGGAAGTGCGCTAAATCGATTGCTTTGCCAGAGCCAAATTCAAAATTACAAAATACTAAGTGTTCATCATTCATGCAACTGTCCTCAGGGTCCTGCCATAAATTTTGATAAAGGACCCCTCGGAATCTTGAGTGGGCGACGCAGTTGCGCACTAAGCCCCCAGCCAGCCATTGCCTTGCATAATTTGCCTTATATTTATTTTACCGAAATGGCAGCCGAAAATTGCATTAATTTAAGACTTTATTAAAGGCGCCATTTCGTAATTGACGCCCATTTAATTTGATTTGATTACATTAAATCTTTTTTCTTCGTTCAATCGGAGTAACAAAAAATGTTCATGTAATTGAGTTCACAATGGTGATTGTATATTTTATGAACTCAATTATGCAAATGGCACAAAAAGTGTAATCAAATATCAGTGCGATGATGAAATTGCTTAATTAATATGTGCGATGCAAAAAATATATTTCATGTTAAAAATAATTCATGAGACATTCGCTGGGAAATATTGGCAGGCAGCCAAAGGAATTAAAGATTACAGTTTCATAAAAAAAAGAGTGAAAAGCCATTTAATCGACGCAGATTAAGGGCTTCAACTAACAATGTTTGTGCATTCGCAGGAATTCCTTAAGATTTGGCCTTGTAATAATATTTTGTCTGGCCAAAAATGCAATTAGAAACCAATTTATGGTTGCAATTCAATAAACCAAAGCTTCGGTATTTGCCTTAAATTACATTTTGGGGGCCATCTGTAAATCCCAAATTGTATTTACAATCTGCAGACACAAGCCGATGAAATGAAATAAAAACACTAGCCGTGACTCAATGGAGTCCATCTTGTATGTGGCATAGCCAGCTAAATGCCATTGAAAATGTATGAATGGTTATTTGATACGGCCATCTACTCATACCCACACTGGCGATTCTAGCCAGGCCAATTCCCTTTTTATGGGTAAGAGCACTGAAAGAATGTTTGACTTCTATCATAAAAACTATTCTGAAATTTTTGGAAAATGATAAAAACTTACGTTTTCTTAACTTTTTAATTTAGTAACTCCAACTTAAAAGCATAGAATAGGAACATATTCTCCTCACTTTTATTTTCCTGTGTATAAAAAATGCAAGTAAACTCAATTTGCAGCTCTTTTTAGAATGCCAAGAGAGCGGAAGTGGAGAGTCGGATTGGAAGTGTGGCGAGGATGGACTAAGCGATATAAACGAAAACGTAATCAAAGGGTTTGGGGCAACGGCTATCCAAGGGTCAAAGGACAAACATAGAGGACGAAACTATCGCCCTGGATCCCTTAGCTCCCCTTTTTCATCTCACACATTGACCGCTGGAAAGTTTGTGGCTTGCAAAACAGCAAAACAGCAAAACTTTTCCATGAATTTAGGTCATTTTGGGGTCATTTTACTGTAGTTAACTTGTTGATTACTTTAACGTATTGAATATACAAGTCTGTGGGCTATGAATATGCAATGTAGCTGAATAGTCAAAATATTTGCAGTTAAAGGGAAGACTAAATTCCTGAAATTTCACTTGAATAAACAACCGCAAAATGCCAAACTATGAGCAACCATTAATCAAACTGTTCCACTCGCTTCAGCTTAATTCGGCCACAAACTTTTCCAATAAATGAATAGCCCTCAGCTCTCCGCGAAACGGCAGCAGGGCTAATTATAAAACTACTAGTGGGCAGGCGCTCTGGTCGAAAAATCAAATTAAAAATCCCTCCAACGAAATATGTAAATATTCCACACCAATTTCCGCTAAATCATCGCCAGTAGCTTTAATTATAAAACCATACCCCGGGCGAATTTCAAATGCAATTGCTACAAATTTCATTGAATTAGGCGCACCATCAAGGCCTAAAATCCAGGGCCAAAAGTCCTTGGCTGGGGAAATTTTCATCTGTTTAACAATGGCCAGAATGTGTGCGCCAGTTGGTGACCAAGCAGAAAGGCCAGAAAAATTAGCATAATTGCCGTTGGGGGAAGGGGAGGGGCAAGAAAAGTCAAAATGGAACTTTTATTCTGGCTTCACTCTAATTACCGGCTAATTTATGCTGGCCCGATGTGTGAACAGCTATGCCAAACAATTGCTTACCAAAATTTGATGGATTTTGGTGGGAATTTCTGAACATCAGCCAGTTTTCTGGTCACTATGACTGAATTGTACGAGAACGCCATGACTTACAGCTCTAAAATCGAAAGCTGGCCTTAATAATCATCTTCCTTCAAAAATCCTATATACAAAATGAGATATTTTGCATGCCAAGAAAGAATTCCACTTGAAAGGAATTCATATTATGTAAAAACTTGACACGCTTCCGCGAAATTTGTGCCACGCTTCTCCCATTTATTCGTGCTGCAGAGCCATTTCTATTACTTATACGCAGTGTTGCCAGCGGATATTTATGCCAAGTCGTTAGCTGAAACCCATTGACAGCTGCGGCCCTTGACGCCCTCGCAACATGTGCTTATTGTTTACAAGCTCGGTTTTTGTCAAAAGTCAGTAAGAGTGGGTGAATATTTTACCATAACATATCCTAGACGAGGAAATTGGTAAAACTCAAAAACATTCCCACCACTTGACTATGATTGATTTGGCCAAAAATGTCAAATAATAGCAGGAAGCAATTGCAAGCACTTAATCATTAATCAAAATTCGGTGGAGTTTCCTGGTTTTTGTCAAAGAAAAGGCTTATTTAAATCGCTCACGCAACCTGTATCATTAGATTCCTCCATAAATGCGCAAAAAACCCAAATCGCAATAGATTTTGCCCAGTTCGTGGGCCGCGAAAAACAAACAAACTCAAGTCATTTGTCAACAAAGTTGATAAATGTTTTAATTATGGCCCACGCCTCAGTTGGGGGACAAAATGGAATATTCAATTGCGCAAGTTTCCCTTGCCAAGGTGGTGAAAGGGTCGAGGACTTGGCTCTCTTTAGATGAGAAATGGCCGGGGATTTAATTAAAATGCCTTTCCTAAGAGATTAGATTAGATTTAAAAAGAAATAAACGAAAAACCGATACACCCTTTGAAGTGGTTCATTAGCTAAATGAATCAGTTGTTATCACCCGATCTGATATCTAGATATTGGCTTTTTCTTTTCGGTGTCTAAATGTCCAACTGCCACGTGGAACATTCTAAATTATTCAGCGAAAGTCGGATAAGCCGGCAGCTACAGACAGAGGCAGTACTGATGCTGATGTTTTCGTATGGTTAGACATTTGCATTTGGCCCATGGAAATGGCGAAATACTCGTATTTATTTGCCAAATCAGAGCCAGCGGACCCAGACGAGTGCACGTGCCATTGGTAATTGATTGATTGTAAGCAAACACAAGGCAACAGCTGACAAGATAAGCAAACAGCAGTCAGCTCACATAATCCGAGAGTTGTTGTAACATTTTCCAGTTTATTTCGCCAATTTTTCCAATACCTACGCCCAAAGCTTTAATGGTAGCTAAAGTTCTTAAGTTAAACCAGCAATTTCTTTAGAATTTAAAGAGCCATTGACCCCAAAAGCAGAAGAAGGACAACTTTTGTAGTTTCCCCTTAAGTTTGATCCGCTTACGCTTAACAGAGCAAAGTCGACTTAATTGCTTTTCAATAACAAAACAAAGGACTGCGCTGTCGATCCGTTAAAAACACGCAATGTCGAGCCAAAGCCTAGTAAAAAATGCAAACAACTGGTGCGGGCCCAAATCTCATTAAACACACACACACACACACACACTCAACCGACAAACGGAAGCAAGGATAACAGTACACAGTGCACAGCAGTACACTGCAACAAATGGCTTGTTGCGTGTTATTTGTCATTTCGGATTGCGAACGGATGCCACTGGCCCAGTTAAAGGCGGCGGTGGGGGCGTGACCACCGACCGTTCGACAACAATTGTTCCGGAGTATGCGAAAATGGGCGAAACTTTCCTTGTTTATGGTTGAATAAATTTTCGGGGCTTGCTTTTGTTGCCCCACCAATTGGCTGAAGGTGTCTACAGGTAAGGAAAGCGATAAAGAAAACCAAGGGGAAAAGTTGGATGGGGAAGCTTGGAAAGCACCTGTCAGCGGGGGCTCTGCTGGATATTTCCTCAGGTATGTTGGAACTCAAGGGTTCCAATTATTAGGTCTTAAGTAAAATGACTTTAACTTTAGTTAGTAAGAATATTAAGATTATACGGAAATATCTTTAATATCTTACTATTACTGTTTTAATCTTAACTTAAATGATGTATTAAGTGCTAGTACCTTCTATTTCAATTCCTTTTTCCCAGCCAGGATATCAAACATTATCCACCATTTTCCATTGTGTTTCCTCTTTTGTTTTGCAATTTGCCAAACTCATTAAAAAATCGTTGCACTGAATGTTGTCACTCATACGTCCCGTGTGCTCTGGAAA